TTTTGCCATATTGTCGTCCGAGAGTCCCATGATTCTGGGCATGTCGATGAACAGGTTTGCATTGCTGAAAAATGAAGATTCTTCTTTACACACTGCCTTGATTACAGTCTCCAGGGATCCAACAGCTGAACTTCTGAACTGCCCACTGTGCAAGAACTAGAACAGAAATACAGATAAATCAAAGTTACTTTTAGTAGCTTCAGGGAGTAGCCCTGGTGTTCTCTCAATATTGGCATCCAATGAGTTTGACAAAATTAGACTGTTGAAACTGTGAGGGCCTGCTGTGCTCTTTTCTATTCTGCTGATCACCTTTGTCATGGGGGTTAAAAAAAAAGTCATGCAGCTTTAATTGTCAGGATACTCGATGAAAGACAGTAGTATAATGTACTACATTAAACTTTGAAAAATACTGTGTATCAGTTAGGCAGAAAAGGAATGAAAATATCAAGCCAACTGGACTACAGGTTCCTTGATGACAATGTCATTTTTCACAAAGTCTGTTCTTCTGGTAGATTACAAAGATCACAAAGACAGCAGACACAACCAAAACCATTTTGTGTATGAATGCCTTCAGTGAAAACAGTTGCTAAGAAGAAAAAAAAAATATTTAAGTGCACATGTCCTAAAAGCTTATTTTTCAAGTACATCTTTTAACTTGTTAGACGTGCTTCTAGCTTTTGCACATCATGAGTCATACCAACATTTATTATTGCCATTTGCTCGTGATTAGCATATACCTAATGAGCAGAGCAATCCAACTGCTCTTATGGCTTAAGCACCATGATTCACCACATTAAAAATAAATAAATAAAACCAGCCTCCTCTGTGCAGCTTCATTTTTCAAATAACATGCTCAGTTGTAACTGGTATCTCATGGAAGGCTGTACAGGTGCACAGGTCTAAGAGAGGATACAACTGCGAGGCAATGCGCTGCTGGAGTATTACTGAAGGAGGCATTGGCCCGCCTGATGCTCATTACTGTTGCAGATGCTTGTCAAGAAAACATAAGCAGACTACCAGATATCATTTGAAGACTGCATAACTGGCAAATAGAAAAAAGACTGTGATATGTGAACCAAACACATTTGACACTGGAATAAATTAGCATTCTATCATTGGAATTATTATTTTTTTTTAACAGAAGAGTCAGTTTTCAAAGTAGTACAGCACTTTACATTAAGAATAAATCACAGACAGTTTAGAGATTATGCTGTTAGAAACAGTTTATCCTGATCAATGAATTTACTGAAGTGCCAGGTGCTTCTTTAGTAATCCTGGAGGAATATTATAAGTGTTATTTAAAACTCAGTGTTGGCTGCTCCCAAAATCCAACTTTTTTGCATATGGTTTCAGCATACAGCATAGTAAATAAATAATATCCACATTTCATAATACCATCATCTAAGGCTCTTGAATGAATCTGCTGGCATGGACTTTACTAGAGGAATAAACTTTATTTATGCACAATACTGAATAAAAGTGGTTTTGAATCCTTATTAGTGACTATTTGCACTAGAAGGATAAATGAGGCATATTTCAGTCAAAGAGCACAAACTTGCTAATTAATTCTGGTTCCAATCAAAATAACTTGAAATTCAAATAATGAATATTTATGCGGTAAGCTACCACCAACAGACTGAATCTACTTACTGTCTTTCAACTAAATATCCACTGACTCAATAAGATATGTTTCCTAAAATTTGGCTTTGATAAAGTGGGAAAACTATATAGGATGGATGTTCACAAAAAGTTATGTTTGATCCAGTTGTTCTAGTTTAAACTAAATTAAGTAGGTCTGTAATCAAGGCTGATGAATCCAAACAAGCAGCCTCCTACAAAGTAATCAGTCAAGCTAGTTGCTCCAACAAATTCACGGAAGAGGAAGGCTGGTGTTGAAGATTAAAAAGCTGTCTGGAACTTTATTCTTAAACAGGGGCAAAAACCTCATAGCACAGGGTCTTCTGACCTAATTGGACAGTGGTATGCTTAAAAAAAATGTTATTAATAGTAACAAATTCATGTAGAGCAGAAATATCAGCTATTCAACAAAAGAAACCTAAAAGTCAAGCCAGGTTACAGCTTGCACAAAAAACTAAAATAAATTCAGAATCAATACATTAAAAGAGAGAGAGGAAAAAAAAAATGCAGTTTTCCTGGAAAACTATGAGGAGTTTAAAGATAATTCAAAATTTGATGAAACTGAAGGGCTAAAGGAAACAAATGCAGAGAAATAGATATTCCTACTTCTGGATAGAGCCATAAACAAAACAATTGTTTTGTTTAATCTATGTACTGAAGTTGGCAAAATCAGCGGAAAAAAATAGCAAAATTACTGATTTGATTAAATTATTTTTCAGATGCCTATCAAATTTAGGTGGCAATATTTGAATGAAAAATAGAAAATTCATCTATACTCAAGAACGAGTGACATAATGCTCCAGGAAATAATGGATATCTTGTTGTGATGTTTAATAGGGAAGATATACAATACATTTTAAAGTGGAGAGCAGTTAAAGACAAAAAGTATGTGAAGATTAAAATTTAATGCATTATCAAGTTATTCTAGACCAATACGATATATTTATGTGGGAATGCAAGTACATTTTCCCTGAAAAAGACATATGGTGAAAAAGACATAAACTAGGCAAACTCTAACAGCCAGTTCATGTTCTTGTCCTAGAAAATAATAATCAGCAACATAATCATCAGTCCTTGCCACCATTCTCCCCGCCCCTGCCAGTGTACCCATCCAGTGTTGGTACCGCCTGCCTGTATTCCCAGCAGGGCAGAGCCTGTGCCTACTCCGGGGAACAGCCCCAAGGCGTGGTCAGTTTGGTGACATCTACCAGTTTCTGCTTACTGAAATAACCAATAATAATCCAATAACTATGTGGTGGGTAAAAAATGGCATTAATAAGATATTGCAGGGACCCTGCTAAAATGAAAGAAAACACTGGATCACAGAGAAGTTACTAGTGTTATTCCTGTGAGACTGATCTTAGGTCTACTGTGATACCTTTTTTTTAGTCCTGGAAGAAACAAATTACTGAAATCTGCCTATAATTTAATACCAGAAGGCATTGCAGGAGATCAGAATGTGATATGGCAAGAAACCAATTACCTAATTTAAAGTAAATTGAAGATAACCAGTGCAAAACTTATTTATCAACTGAAATCACAAGTTGCTGTTATAAAATTGAGCTTATCTAGGTATATCACTGATTCTTGATCAAGTAAGAGACAAAAATGTATGCAGCTTACAAAAAAGGGGAATGCAAGAATAAGGAAGTCATTTTAGTAGTTATAGACATGAATGAGCAGAACTACAAGTGTCATCAGCCATAATCCCCCTCAAAGACTGTACACATTTCTTGTTCCCAACATTCAAGATTAGTCTTAACACAGCATGCAAAGATAACACTAGGATGTCTGAGACAACTGAGAGCCTGTTATAAAAGAAAAACCTAAAACAAACAAAACAAATACTAAAATTAATCTACTTAACCTGTCAAAACACAGAAGGATTACTTCCACAAACACTTGGGCAAGTCAGAGACCTTACAAAAGCTACAAAATATTTTTGATACAAGAGTAAACATACTAGCCATCGATAAACTTAAGTCAGAATTTTATACATTTATAACTACAAGAGGCATTTCAAATGATAGTTTTAACAGAAAACTTGTTCAAGTTAGTGGAGAGATTAGAGAATGAGGCCACCTTTCACAGCTGACAACATTCAGTAACTCAGCAGGTCCCCTCCAGTTTATCTATTCATGAGTGACAAACATACGGAAAATTAGCTATGGAAAAATAAGCGAATAGTTTCAAACAGCAAATAAACAAGCAAAAATCATGTTCGAAATCAGCAGTGTTTTCCTCAGGGGGTTATCTATTCACTCAGTGTTGTTAACAGTAGAATGTGGCTCTATATTCCAATTACTACTGACTGGAAGATATTGAGTTTTTACATCATCTTTTATTACACAATATGTAGCATACCAATTCGACTCCACATTTTACAGGTATTTTAAAGGTATTTCTTGCCTTTCATTTTGTCTTTCAGACAAAAATCCATGTGTGTAATTGACAATTACTTTATTATCTCTTTCATTATAGGAGTAATTAATTTTTTTAAATCAACTTCAAAATAACTTTTTCAGTTAGAAGTTAATGAAGGAGACAATCTGTCTTACTCTATGCTCATGGTCTGCATATTTTTACTTTTAAAATCTTTACATACTTTATTTGTAATCTTCCCAGGTCACTGAACTACTTTGCTATTGGTTATCTTGAAAATAAAAATCCAGAAGTATGGACTCTTTGGAAATAGAAGAAAATATTTAAGGAGGAAAGTGTATAACCAGTATCGCACTTTAGTAGCACACTTATTCAATAGCACACATTTGTCCACTATTGAAAAGCAGCAAACAAAATAATCAGGAATTGAAATTATTATTGGAAAGTAGAAAAAAAAAATCCAGTTAAACCTGAAAAGGAAAGGATAGTTAAAAATAAACACATTAAACACATTTACTAGTCTACAAAATGAGAAAGAATTACAGATACAGGAGATCCCTTCAAAACATCAAACATCTAATTTATTAACAAAAGAACTAGACACTCATTTTTTTAATCCTCCACAAATTATTAGGTGACAAAAACAAACAGCAATTTCTCAAGGAAAAAAAAAAAGAATAAAAAAAAAAACTAAGAAAATAAAGTACATGTCAGAAAAAGTGTCCCAAAAAGGTAAGATGGAAAAAGGAACAAAAATTCCAAGGTTAAGTCTATGCTATATTACAGGATACTCTGGATTGTCATGGAGCAAAGATTAAAAGTGTGACCAGATGGCCCTCTGCTGTTCGATTTGTTCCTTTGCAAACTTTTTTTGAATAGGACCTTCTGAGATGTTCTTCTATCAAATAACCAACTTTGGGATTTCACTCCAAAAAGAATACTTCATTTGTTTGAAGGAAAGTCTGCCACAAACAGAACTAGTTTAAGGAAAGTAGAAGCATCTGATGACAGCCACCTTCCATTGCAGCAGCCCAGAGAAGAGAGGCTCACAACCAAAACTAATATGCACAGAATAGCATTTTGCATGTCTCTGTCACACAGATTAGATCTTGAGAAACATTCATATCACTAGGGAAAACAGTATTTAACGCAGTTCTTACTCTGTACTGTAGTCACAAACCAGTTTGCATTGTTTATCACTGAGAGACCTTTTAGAGATTTGCAATTTTAGAACCAGATGCAATCCTAAACTTTCCACACAAAATAGCAAATCCAGAAGGTAATGAAAGCCATAGGGGTCAGCAGGTCTTCCTATGGAATTGGACCCTGCTTACCAGCAGAAATTTTTTTTTCTGATTTAGTATTAGATCCACCCACCACTGTGGTAGCTGTATAGATGCACACACAGCAAATGCCCTTACAGGCAGTGACAAAAGAAATATCCTCACTCACACTTCATGCCACTTTTTTAAAATGTCAGGCAAAACTGTCACACAAAAAACTTAAGTGACACAGGCAGAAACTCATGGCAGATAAAAGAACTGCACATCGTAACTTGAAATCTTATCCTTAAAAAAAGTAAAGCTTTTTCTTATAAACAAACTAATAGTTTGCTCATAAAAAAAAATAAATACATTAGCAGAAAAGGCTTTGGCTATCTCCAAATCACATGCTACAATTAATCAGTAGCCTAAAACCATATTAACTTAGGCTATGATCTCATAAGTTAACAAAAAAAGAGAAACAACACATCGACAGCCTCAAAATTACCAGAGTGCTTGAAAAAGACCAAATAAATGTTCCTAGGGTCTATTGACTGTCTTCTCTCTAAGTTCCCAGCCTTCTAGGACACAATTTCTATTAGTGGTCCCCCTTACTAAGCACGCATCCCTAACAAAGCAACTCACAATGGGAACTGAATTTCCATATTTAAATCGTACACATACCTGCTGCAATGCAGAGATATCAAGCACACTAATGTCTTGAATTCCTTGGAGGAACACTGGAAAGTTTTCCATGACATGGTGGGCTTTATTGAGAAGAGAGCTGATACTAGAAACCACATCCAGTAGCATGTTTAGAACATTGCCTGTCTCAGATGGTATATTAATCTTGGAAAAGAAGGAAAAAAAATCACACCAATAAATTCCAATTAGAAAAAAAATTTAACCTATCAATGAAACACTCAAAATTACTCAGGGTTTTTTTTTTAATTGATTATACAGTAGTCTTGCAAACCATGTTTAACAAACATCTTTTAGTATAACTCTCCAGTTATAGTTAGTCTCAAATTCAGCTAAAGAAAAATTCTCTGGTAATGTTAGAACTGGCCTATGACAAATCAGGAATTAAAATCCAGAGAACATAGGATCATAGAATTGTCTAGGTTGGAAGGAACCTTTAAGATCATTGAGTCCAACCATCAACCTAACACTGCCAAAACCACCACTAAATCATGTCCCTAAGCACAACATCTACACATCTTTTAAATACCTGCCTGGATGGTGACTCCACCGCTTCCCAGGGCAGCCTGTTCCAGTGCTCGATAACCTTTTCTGTGAAGAAATTTTACGTAATATCCAATCTAAACCTCCCCTGGCATAACTTGAGGCTGTTTGGTCTTGTCTGATCACTTGTTACTAGTGAGCAGTTGACCCCCACCTGGCTGCAACCTCCTTTCAGGTGGTTGTAGAGAGTGATAAGGTCTCCCCTCAACCTCCTTTTCTCCAGGCTAAACAACTCCAGTTCCCTCAGCCACTCCTCATAAGACTTGTGCTCTAGACCCCTCACCAGCTTCGTTACCCTTCTCCAGATACAATCCAACACCTCAATGTCTTTCTTGTAGTAAGGGGCCCAAAACTGAACACAGTATTCGAGGTGGGGCCCGACCAGGGCCGAGTATAGGGGGATGATGACTTCCCTAGTCCTGTTCACCAAAATACTCCTGTTTGTATCTACCAAGCTGAAGAGAGCTCTCCTGGCTAAGATACTAATGGGATCTGCAACATCCTGTCTCCTTGGAATTTAGTGTAAATGAGAACTTTTCCTTCAACAGGTTCAAAATGCTTAATGCAACAGTTTAATATTTTTAAAATAATTCATAAGTTAAATTAGATCTCACTACCACTGTAGTTGCTTTTGGAGTCATATCAGACAACAAGGTTTCCTGTCACACTCTTCCTCCCTTTGCATTTTTCATATGCACTGCCTTTTACCTAAAATAATTGTGTGTATTTCATTCCCTACTTGACTAAACTTCAATTGGCCATTTGCTCTTTCCACGATGTAAGTTTTGGCATTATGAATCTTCTCTCCATTTCCTTTGTTTTTATAGGTTATTTAGATGATAAGGTAATACAAACTGATTCATTGCTACCTGCCTATGCATAATAAAAACAATATAATCTCATTATATGATTTCAGCTGCTTCTTCTGATTATCATTATTTTATCCACCTTTATTTGACTTCCTACTCTAATAATGTCTGCTTAATATTCTCCTCAGCCTTCACCTGCTTTTACACATTAAAAAAAAAGAAACCATTAAAAAAGTCTGATTCAGTTAAAAAAATAGCAAAACTTCCATAATAATTTAGGATAAGATGACAATATTTTTTATTATTTTCTAGGAATTCATTATGTTTCAGTAGGATTCAGTAGAAAAGCCCATCAGAATAAACACAGTTTTGTTTTGTTTTTTTTCCCCTTATAGGTTGGCAGATAATTCAGAAAGTAGAAATCTTTTCTTTTCCCTCTGACATATCTTAACCTATTCTGAGAAATAGTTTTATTTTTAAAAGTGTGTGGCCAACCTGTTTAACTGCACATGCTGCATCCAGATTATAACCCATTATCTACAGCTTTAGAACGAAAGAGTCTTCCTCCCAATGTTATAGCTTTTTAACTATATGTACTTACATTTTATGTTCCAATTACCCCAAAAAAACTGAAATAATATCTGCTAACTATCAGAAATCCCATCCAATAATTTTGCTCTTACAAGTAAAAATATTGTCTCACTGAAAACCCACTCTAGACCCCAGATTATCTACAGTTGTACAGATAATACAGTTTTGCTACAGACTTCTGCATCCTCTTCATTATAGTTTTGGCACTGTATTATTATTGTTAAAGTCATTTCACTTGGGTCATATAAAATATAGGAGGTCTGCCCTACAAAAGAGATTCATCCTGAGAGCTGGAAAAGCTCCTTCCTGAAGGAGCCACCTGAATTGCCAACATGATTTTTACAGCAAACAAAATGCGTTCCACAGTGCTACGAATTTTTCCTAGAAAATAACTTTGTAGCTCTTGTACTGTGAGCTCCTAGGCTTTAGTATCAATGACGCCAGATCAGTCTTCCACACTTAGAAATTAAGAAGTAACAAATTGCACAAACTGCAAACTCTGCTAAAGATTAATAAAACTATGTCTTCAACCTCCTGTATTTTCTCTAAAGCTTTCGTAATTAACTCCTCAGTGATAATTTTTCTGAGGAAGCAAGAAATGGAATACCGTAGCAGCTACCAACCCCATTATTCAACTGTGGAGCTAAATGAAAACAGAAAAATGCCATATGTCCAGTGTTTGCTTCCACAGAAAAAGAACATTTGAAGAAATAACAGAATTATTAATTTATCTACCTGCATGTTTTAGACAACCTTCAAAGGAAAACATAGGAACTGAATGCTTTTTTTCCCCATCTTACCTTGTAAATAATATGACGTAAGTTCAAATTCTGCATAATCAGTACAAACATGGTATACAACTCCAATGCTGGTAAAGAACATAACTCTTCCACTACCACAGAAGTTTTACTGTTTTCAGGTAGCTTTAGCAGCAGGCTAAGTAATTCTTCATCACATCTTCCGGTTAAAGCTACCACAAAGGCACTGTAAAAAACCTATCATAATGTACATGTATTAGAATTTTTTTTCCCTGAAATGCATCACCTTTTTTTATAGTCAGTAAGATGAGAATTTATGTCACAGTAACATGACAATTTGCAGTCATCAACAGACGTGAAGTAATGAACCGTACAGCTCTATATCAGATTGGTATGTTCTTGCTTTATATTCTATGTACATACAAAAAGATGAAGTATATCTCTTATAAAGATTTACTTTCATTTGTGAACAAGTTGATCATTCATTCCATGAGCAATCATACCATAAGCAGGCATATGTACAATGCTGAACATACCCATTCTAGCAGATACACACCTTTGCTGCAGAAACACTTAAAGATCAAGATCTAGATATATGACTCTCTAAAATCAAACAATATGAACTTTCCTTCTTTCAGAGGACACACAAATTTAACACTTAGGGATGGCTATATGGCACAACATTCACTCTAAGCCAGCTCATGTTTCTCGGTTCAACACTTCTTTGAAGTGTTATTATTTAAGAGTGGATGAAGGGACAAGTGCCTAAGCAGACTTTGGGCAAAGCTCCAATAAAAACTCCTTGGATAATGATGGTTTGCTTCTTCCTACAAAAATGTCATATAAAAAGACAGAAGTTTGCAGCCCAGATTTCTCAGGAGTTCTTAGCTATCCTTTCTCCTGAAATGCCTGGAAGAAAACAAATGGCAGCAAGTCCAGAAACATTATCATCTTCCTGTAGGAACCAAAGTGCAGTACTCCAGGCTCCATTGTACTCCTGCCTGTACTGCCTCCACTGAATGCATCTGTAGCCAGTAACAGTACTCAGTGAGGGAGAGGATCCCCAAGAAAATCAAATTAGGAGCCAAAGTTGGTCAAGATACGCAATTTAACTCTGATTCCTATGAACATTTTAAGTTTCCAATTTACTAGTTTTACTTCTAGATTTTTATCTAAACAGAATTTTTCTTTTGTGATTCCAAGGGATTTCCAATATATTTAAATATTCCCTTTTTTTGTGCATGTACGAGGAACAGAATATGAACATAAATATAATTCTGCTAGCAGCATAAAAGCATACTGATTTGGACTTCTTGCCGTGGAGGAAATTTGACTCAGCAATACAATTTGCAATTTGTTCCCTCATGCCCCACATTAATACCATCATTTCGGTCCATTTTTTAACCCATTCAACGTTTTACTCACTAGATTAACTCCCTCTGAACTTTCCTTGCAGCTTTGTGAGTACCAGAGCTAATCTAAACTCCTGCGTTCCTTATGAATGCTCCTATGAATGCTTATAGTTTTCAGGTTACAGGGTTTGACCAGTTTCAAAATACTTAATCACATGGCAATGAGCATGGCCAGACCATAATATGCTGGTAGAAATTAAGGGTAAGTGCAACAGCATAAACAACTCGCAGGCTTACTCTTACCATTACAGAGGCAAGCACAGTAGTAGTATACAGTCACAGAAGTAAAGGACTGCATTGGACACGCAGCGATCATTAGGGTTATTAGACAGTGGCTATATATACCATAAACATAATGGGCATGACTAAATTACAGCTTAAGAAAGTACTTGTGCACCTTGCAGAAGCAGTAAGAGACATAGGCTTTAATGCTGCAGTTGTACTAGGAAAGGATTTAAGCACTTAAGCAAACAAAACATTCTGTATAGATATGCAAATGTGAGGCATGTACATATATCTAAACTCTACATAGGACTTTGGCAAAAAATGAGGATAGAAAGTCATTAGAAAATTCAGTCAATTAGCATTATTATTGCAAAAGATCAAAGGTGCACCAAATCCCACTTAACTGAATCTCTTCCAGATGACTTCTCTCATTGCCATTTACTGGTATTAAAATAACAAGCTAACAATAAAGGCAGTCACACTGCCCAAAAAAACAGAAGAAAAAAAAAATCACCTGTAAGTAGTTATGATGGTCTGAACTGCCTTTTAAATAGCCACACTTTTCACGACCTTGCAACTATTTCTGCAAGTGGAGCATCAGTGACACCCAGTGGCTGCGTGATTGACCTGATTAGTTTATAGCAGATGTACACACAACTCTTTTCAGTCATATAAACATTAACAGGAGAGAGAACCCATAAGTTATGTGGCATTTTTCATTATTTCTACTAATCACTGGGATCACAGGAAACAGCAGCAATGATAATACACACAGTCCTTCACTCAGAAAACTTACACAATCTACCCTTTAGACAATAGTCAAGAGACAAAAGATAAATAAAGTGGAGGTAAGGCAATACAGTGGTGAGACAATGTAAGAGCAGTGAGGAGCACACGAAGGTATGAAAAAAAAAAAATAATCAGACAACTCTGTACTGCAAGGATAAGGGGTGGGAAGATACAAAATGATTTCTCCAGGAATCCTCACCTTTTCTATAGTACAAAGATAGCAAAGCTCAAACTCCATGTCAGCACAAGGGGTTAAAACACTGCTGAAAGTAATGAAGCAGCACCATTTAGACCAGAAGACTAGTGCTACTATAAATTGATCTCTTAATGCTTCACATTATTATTTTGAAGTCCTAAATCTCACAAAATATTCCACATAGAAGTGACAAGTGAAAATATAAGATTCCACACAAACAAGGTGGTTCGTTTTATTTTGGTTGGCACATCAGGCTACAGATTGACCTGTTAATTTAACACTTCTTTTCGATCTTTTACCTTTGTATGAGAAATACTGGCTTCCAAGATGGTACTGATAGTTTCTTCAGAAATATTGACAGAAGAACCAATGTCCAGCCTTAACTGAGTAAGATTCTGCACACACTCTTTGACTTTCACATCTGGAAGAGAAGAAAAATAGTGCCAACAGTACTGATCTGCTTAATTAAATTGCCCACAGACTGTATCCTTTTTTTTAGATTTATTCTGAGGGGTGACAAAGGACACAAAATCTTCATATCATGTAATTCACTTCAACTTCAAATGTAAAGGCCGCTCTCCTGACAGACTGAAGGGCTTGTTCATCTGTTTCCATTATCCCATAAGAGCACAGGTTATCCCCACATCCCTGTATTATGAGAACATCTGAAATTGGTGAAGAAGCGTATATTCCTTTGAGATTTTTTTTTTCCACTAACTTAAGTCCCCTTTGCTTTCTAATGAATCCCTGCATTTTATTGGACAGGCTGTGACAGGGTAAACTATGCTGTCCTGTGCCAACTCAAGCACACATATGTGTACATGTGTATAATGAAAATACATTGCATTAAGTCAGTAGTCTCCATAAGCAGTATCCCTTTAAAGTTTGAAGAACAATGAAAAAGTTATTGTCCTGCAAAATTACACAGCAGTGACTTGTAAAAAAGTGAAGAAAACTAGAACCCACCATTCAAAAGATTAAAATTGCTGAGAAGAGCTGCCACTGGATTTTCTGACAACTGTAACTCCAAATTTTCAGCCACCCTGAAATGATAACTTCAGTTTCACATGTTATCAGAACTAATTGACATTACTATGTATAAAGAGTAATGTGAATAGTGAAACAGCCACTAAATGAGGCAAAAGGGTCGCATTTTGCTCTATGTGCACACACTGTGCATGAAGTAAGCAACTCTACAAACCTTCTCATGCTGTATTTATGTGGTGCAGAGATCATCATACCTAAATGAGATTGCAAATTTAGAGTTCTTCCCATGATGGCTAAGTGCTCTAGCAAACAGTAGCTTATGGAGAAGCACAGCTCTAGCAATGGCTTACTTCCATGTTTCTTACTGAACACATAGTTTTAAAACCTAGAGATACAAAGCACTGTAGTTCAGAATGAATAAAGTCTACCTAATTTTCATTTAAGTGATAAAGAGTATACACACATAAGATATTATTTATCATTGAAAAACTGGGCATGAGTCTATGGTCCATAAGAGCAGCATCTAAGCTTAAGTTTGTGTGTATTATTACAATAATTCACAGAGATGATTCAAGCCCATTATGAAAACAATCCAATAGTCAAACCAGTATAGAAATAATTATAACAAGGACCACTTCTAACTGACAGCAAATTTGAAATACTCTGTTTTATTCATTTACTTTAAATCTATTATTTTTCCTCAAGGAAATAGCAAATATCTGAAATTATTTGGAGTTCAAGCCTGTCAGTTTACAAGCACCATCCCATGTACCTGACTCTTTGAACCGCTGAACTGATCTAAATGTTCAATGTTTTGCAAAAGACATCCAGCCGCTGAGAGGACAAGTTCATGGCAAAATAGCTTTAAATAAAAAATTAAGATGTCAAAATTTTTACCTAACTGAGGTCATGGAAAGTTGAAAATTTTCTTACTTGTAATTCAAAGTATTCTCCTTGGGGACCAGCAAGATTTGCTGCAAGTCCTTAGCAAAGTGCAAGGGCTTTTTGAAATATCCAGAATTTTGCTAATAACTTAAATAATTTGTGCATTGTATGCACTCAATTTTCAGTTTAATGAACAAAGCTTAAAGAGACTTTGATAAATAGTCTCTGTAATTACATAATTTAGAAGACAGACATATGCACAAAATAATATCTCTAACAGCAACCGTTTAGGCTTTACATTTGCAGTTGTCTCTGCATGTTCCCCGACATTAGTTGACATTCACAGCTATCATTGCTGTCATTCTGTAAGGCTCTCAGGAAGCTCTCCAAAGTATTGGAAAGTTTTTGGTTCACATATGCCACACTCTCACAATCCCTCTTGCTGAAAGAACGCCACATTCTTTCAATATCCTGCAAAACACAATGATCATATGGTTAGCAAATTCATGAGATTATGCTACTGCTTAGGTAGTTTGAGGTAGTCTCGGCAACTAGATGATGTATATTTTCAAATGAGAATATGGGTAAGGTAATACTCTTTTACTCATTGTATTTGTAATTGAAATTGGGTGAGAGGCTTTCAAGAACCAAGGAATTTTCAGGGACTTAAGTTCAGGGAACAATCAAAAATATTTGTGAATTTGAACTAACCTATCAAGGAGAGTCATACATTAAAAGAAATACCAACATTTTCATTTGAAATTTAATTCCAAGCTGAAATAAGCTTTTAATATTTTATTTTTTTTAGACTGACCATTTTTATCTTTTTCCAAAAAACTTGTTCTAAACAACATCAATCTCCATTTAGCAAACCAACAAATCTGGATATCAATATCCAAAGGTTTTCTTGCATTATACTTTGTGTAGTATTCACTTTTACCTTTTCTTGCAAATATTAACATTTCTGATTTTCCAAGGTTTTTTAATATTTGCAGAAGTAGGTCACTTAGTGGTGGTGGCTACAGAAATGCATTTGTTCCACAAAAGTCTACTTTCAGATATGAACGATGCCTCTGACGTCTGTTTACCTCAAAACATTGCTGTTCATATCAGCAAAATGTCCAGGCAGACAAACTAGCAGAGCTATTTCATAAAGAGGAGTCAAATTCTATACTAAAAGCATGACTTTAGTATTTTGTCTGTGTGTGCAGGCATGTGTGTGCTACCCAAAGGCCTGCTTCCAACTCTGGATGAGTCTCGGAATGCCAAATGTTACTCTCTTCTGCAAGTAATTTCATGCACTGTTAAAGAAAAACAAACTGACCCCAACTGGTAACCACAATTGCTATTTTAGCCTGAATGACCCTGGCCAAAAAGTTTATTTGTATCTAGCTTGATTTCATAGTTGTTCCTGTGAAGATTTAAAAGTATGTGTACTCTGATTCATGAAATTAGCAGTATCACAAAACGTAAAGGAGTTAAAAATGGGCCACTGTTTGGTATTGAATGGCAATCTAGTTATTCTAGTTATAGGAATTCTAGTAATTCTAGTTATATTTACAGTTTTAAAAGCTCAGCAATGTTTACTTAAGGAATTCCTTCTGGGTATCACTATCAAAAGCATCAGAGCTATACCCATACAAACCTCAGCTTTGTATAACCACTGTGGGGACTCATCATTCAGACAGTAGGAAAAAAAGACAACATTTCCATTAGTTTCAAAAGTTTAATGCACATTGCAAACAACACTTGTAGGTGTTGAAACCACTCAAACCTGATAATGATCTCGAACCAGAGTGATTCCTTCAATGACAGAGAGGAGTAAGTGACTCGTTAATCCATCTTTACACTTTGTAACAACACAGAAAATGTTGCCAATGACAACGGGTTCTTCTGTAAGACAAAATGTCCAGGCTTAATCAGTTTAAAAAAAAAAAAAAAAATATTACTGTAATCAGATGAAAAGTCAACAAAATAATACTGGACAGAAAAGTTTTTAAAAGCAAAGAAAGTCTGATGTGTTAAGGCAATAAGAAATATTTCTGGCTAAATTTATTTGTCATTGCAGAGGGCAAGAAGGGCTAGTTTGATTTGATTTCCATTACTTTTCTCCATTACACTTTCCTGCTCAATAATAAGAACAGCAATACCTGCTACAGAACCAGAGAAAAAAAAACTTCATTTTTGCTATTTGTGAGCAAGAAACAGACAAAATATCCAGTAAAAAAGATAAGACAAAACCCAAATGCATATACAGTCTTCTGCTGGGCTTCTGAGTCAAATAAAGAAAGGAAGAAGTCCTGGTGTGCCCGTGTAAACCCAGAAGGAAGGGAAAGAGCACACAGCTAAAAATGAGAGAAGAGGAGCTTCAAGACCTCCTGCTTCCACTGAGATTTTGAACCAACGTGACCACTTCAGAAAGAAATCAACTCTTTATGTGATCTGCATCAAAACTTTTCCTGTGTTTCTGTTGTTTTAATTTCCAGGCATCAGTATGCTCACCTTGCCTGGCACCACCCAAGTTAACTTATTTTTATAAAACGTTGCTCAGGGTAAAGCCTTAACATTATAGTACTAAGACATATGGTGACCCATGCAGTCACTGTAGTAACCAACCTGAAAAGATTTTAAGAACATTCAAAATGGTAAACTGCAACTTCTGCAATAGTAGGACACTAGCAGGGTTTAACTGTTTCTGAAGAATCTTGCAGATTTTAGATGCTCTGTAGAAAGATTAATAAGAAAGCATTATTTTCATAACAAGGGTACCACAAAAAATTTTTAACAAGTGGCTATGTATGGTCGCAATCTTCAATGGACCACAGAAGGATTTCAATATTAATAGTTATTACATTTGTCTGAACTATTTCAAAATCAGAACATATAATTCCATGTTAAAAAAACCCCAAACAAACAAAAAAAAACAGGTTTTCATCAATGTAGCGAGTCATCAGCTTTCTTAAGACCTTAGCAAAAGAAGCAAAATCATAACAGCTTCAGAAATGCTGAGAGCCCACAGCATATACTGACTTGATGGCAAAGAGCAGATTACTCAAAATCTCTGATAACCAGCATTTGGAGAAAATAAAGCACTTTTCTAGTATTTGCTTTTGATTTTTCATCAGATTTAGCTAACACCTGGCCCTGCTGACCACTGGTTTAAGGTAGTTGCATAAAATTAATCATAAAGGTTTAATACCACCTCAGAGTCATGCATCAACTTCAGTATGCCATTTCTCAGCTGGTCTATGTCAGTAGGATCAGTAGCTCCACCCTAGAGCTGTTTGGAGCAACCATCTTGTGGGATTCGTTCAGTGAGTATTATTTAAATGCAGCAACTCCAGTCTAGCAGCACTTTTATTAAATAAATTGTCAGTAAACATCTTCCTGAAGCAAAGTTTCCTCTGCTGCTGGATTACATTTGATTTAAGCAATCTGGCAAAAGTTATTTTGGGCTCAAGACTCCTTCAGAAACTGTATTTGTTAAACTAACAACGCTATAACCGAAGCCCCAGCAAGGGTCCTCTTGTTTGCATAAGTCATCAGCAAATTTAAGTTGAAGACATTTCAAACACAGTATATTTACATTTGGATACAGAAAGAAAAACAAACTACAAAACATTAGTCCCAAGCATTCCTTAATATTTAGCTCCACAGCCAAAATGACTGTTGTCCACCAGTAACCGTGGGTTCAGTGTTCAGACATGCAAGGATTTTAAAACACTAGTATCTTCAGATATTTGGTTCTACAATAACTCCAAAGGAACAACCATGAGTATCCATACAGATGACTAAACACGTCAATAACCTGGTCCACACAATACAACGTGATACCAAATATGGCTGGGCTGAACAATGTAAGTTAATACAAAATACTGTTTTACTCAAAGGCACAAATCTGAAATGAAACAGTAATTAACTTAATAAAAGTTTTGATTGAGCTGCTTACAAAGAACCCTTCTGTCATTGTCAGCACACTGTCAAAACAAGTACATAGAAAACGCTCACCTCATTTCTGCCATTATATCCTTATGCAAATCCTTTAGTAAGAAGGTTATTTTGTTCCTGTCATGTTCTGTGGTAGACTGAAATATCATTTGCAAGACCTCTTGCATGATCTCCAGAGTTCTGTTTTGGGACTGAGTAGAAACTTCTCTATATTGTGCGCTATCAAAAAATGAATCAATGAAGTCAACTATCTGAAGCTCAGTATTGTTTGTATGTAGAGCTTCTTCTATAACAGAAAGATCAGTAATTATATGAAGGAGACTGTTTAGCAAAACTGAATTAGCAGTATGAGTATTATTCAATTTTTCTCTGCTAAGACGACCATCAGCAAACAACATCCCAGTGTAATCTTCCTTAGACATATTTTGGAATAGTTCCAGAAAATCAATAATGTCTTTGACAAACAGCAGTAGGTCATTCGATGAATTTTCATTAGCCATAAGTAGAATTAAAGCATGCATTATTTTAGAATAATTTTTATTGTTACACTCACATAGAAAGCTGTTCAAAATCTCTTGCATGTCTTCCAAATTTCTTAACATAGCATCTACAGATGATGTATTAAACTGCTGTATTAAAAGATCAAGAGCCATTGAAGAGGACTGTCCAGTGGCTAACCTTAATAATTGAAACTCTTGGTCTATCACATCAAGTAAATGTCTAACATTAAAATTTACCAATAAATCTTCTATGCTTGTAACTATAGGAAACCAGGAGTTTTCAAAGTTATCAGATATATTACTGTTTCCATTTAAAGCTGATAATATCATCAGCATTGAGTATGTCTGGTTTCCAAAAGAAGACAGCGCCATTAAAGGCTGAATTGCAGAAATAAAAGAAATGACAGCTTCTGTATCTAGAAGTCCAGAAAATTCACTGGTCATATTCTTTACATTTTTAACAACAGTCTTTATAAGTGATGTTCTTGAATGTCTGTTCCAACTTAGACCACCATAAAAATCATACAACCGTTCAAGAACACCTTTGGCCATCTCTATTTCTGCCACTGACATACTGCCCAATGTTTCTACGATTTGTAAAGCCACTTGTCTCTTCAGTGTGGAGGAACAATTGATTGAGTATGTATTATTCACCTGCAGTGGCACAGCATAGATGGATAGCTCATTCCAAAAATCTAGCACCTCTTTGAGAACTGAGCCATTTACATGATGGAGCTCAGAAAACTTCAAAAGAATAGAGTTCCATTCCTTGATTTGATAAAAAAAACAAGTCAGATTGCGAGTGATATCTATCTGAATGTCTTCCATAGTGCATGAGGAACTGTCCTCCAGAATGATGAGTTTCAGCTCCTTAATTACTTCAATAACTGCATTGTAACTAAGGGTAGAATTGCTATGCACAAAGTCACAAGGTTTAAAAGCGGGATCACTCTGAGGCTTTGCTGTTGTAAGAGTCCAGCAGAATGATGCAGAAAAACAAATTGAGGACTCTGCAGGTTCATCCAACATATCTGTCAATGTCTCCAGTAACATTAGAAGACTTTCTACTTGATCAGAGAACTCCTCTTCAGTAAACATTGGCAGTTTTGCTTCCTGAGTCAGTATGAAAGCATATACTTCAGTTAGTGCTTCCGTGATGTTTACATGAGCTAATCTTTCTGTGAGGTTGATGACATCAAGGAGGAGATGGAATATCTCTTCTACATCATAGAGCTCATCTTGTTTAAAGACTCGTGTTATTTGCCACAAGCCAGTCAGGTTCCAATTACATGAATTGTTCTCAAATGCATCCCACCAGTCTGTTAACATTCCTACCTCATAGTTCTCAATATGCAAAGGTTTAGTATTTTTAAAGAAATTATCTAGGCTCCTCTGGATTTGTTTGAATTGACTTATCAAGAACTCAACATCGGTGTTCCTCATATTTTGCACCAAGGCTACCATATGCTTTAGAAACTCTTTATCATCTCTTAATGGAAAGCCAGTAAAACTGGAAGACTTGAAAATTTCAACTGCCTTCCTTACCGGTTCAATATTCAGAGCTGTTGTTTCTATCAGTTTCTGAAGAAATGTTTTGTGTTCACCCTGCAAGTCTGAGTCAAGTTTACCAATCACATATTGAAAGAACTCCATCAACAAACTGGTATTTTTCTCATTCAAGAGAGGTTCAATCTCAATATCCAAATGAGAGGAGCTGTCTCCTTGGATTTCAAAATTTTTATTTTTCAGAAAAGTTTGAATTTCCGCCAAAAGTTCTACTGATGAAAGCTGAACATGGTGAAAGGTATTAAGGAACATCCTCGAAGTCCTGTTAAAGCCATGGATTGACTGACTAAAATGGGTCTTATTTGATGCATACTGTGAGTGCCTCACTAAATCATTAACAGCCATTTGTATTTGCCCTCCAGAGTTATTTAAAAGCGTAAAAATAAATTCAAGCACACTAATGTCATCTTTTACATAAAATTCAGGGAGAATAAATTTTAAAGTTTTTGCTACAATATTGAAATAAACATTTCCACAAATCATATCAGAACCATTTAGGGAACATTCAGGGAGTATCAAATTAAAAACCAAATTAACAAAGTCCATCATGTTCACTAGCTGAGCATCTGTCTCAATGTTTCCCAGAGATTTCAGCAGAAATAAAATATGTTTTGCACTTTCAAGGTGGGAATGTGACTTGTATTTTTCACTGAGATTACTTAATCCATGCAGCCATCTGTTGCAGTCCTCTGCTTCTTCCACTGTACTATAAAAGTTTTGAAAGGAATTAAGATGAGATGAAAAATTTGTTGGCAAATGGCTTAAGTCTTTCAGAGTACTGTCCAAAATTAGTTTGGTAATATTCTGGAAAATGCTTATACAAACCATATATTTGCCTTGAGGTACACTTTTGAAGAAAGCAGTTGTGTCTTTTATCTCAGTGAGAATAATTCCAAGTTCCTTTGGGGAGAGCTTGAGAATAGTAGAAAGGGAATTTCCAATAGAAAATACACCAGCACCCCTATCTTCTCCCTTGGATCCTCCTGAGATGAAAGTATCAAGCCAAGAATCCAAAAACTCTCCATCAGCAACCTTCAGTATAGATTTCTGCAATTCAGTTATCATGACTCTCATCATGTCTAAAACACTTTCTAAACTGTTAAGTGAGCTTGTGACATCAACTGCATTGATAAATACACTTTGAAGATCAGCAAGGAAAGCTTCAAAATCTTTCCAGTCATTTAAATCACCACCTCCTTCAAATATGATTTTTAATAGCTTCATTGCTGCTGATGTAGCTTCAACAATAACCATAGCTGTATTATTGCACAGTTCATCATGAGTTGCATTTAAAAGACTTCCAGAGAGATTTGCCAAATCATTTCTTAGACATACAAAAAAGGTTGAATTCAAATTTAAGATTTTGGATGCTTCTTCAAAAATCTCTGTCCAAGTTTGAAGCCATGTAAAAGTGCAGTGCAAGGCAGAAGGTATACTTACCTTTTCTCCCAAGTTTGTTACATTGGCCAGAACACTGTCCAATGGAAGCAAAAGTAAGCTGTAAACCTCTGCTGAATGATCCACAGAAGTAATGTTTGAGAGATAAAAATCAATGCACCCATTATTTACCAGGCATTCTGGGGAGATATCAAGAAACTGTTCCAAATAACAAAGGGCAGCTGTTTGGAGGTCTTCATCTATAAACAAAGTTTTAAGGCTGCTCAGAGTGTGATAGACAACTTGCATCTCTTTTTTTCCTTTCTGTGCAAGAGACTGGGCCTGAAACTCTGTGTAGTTGTAAATGATTAGCAACTTTTCACAGAGAGACTTACTGGTGAAGTTCCAGAGAAGATCAAAAGTTTCAGACAGAAAATCAAAAACTCGATCCTCATCTTGGAAATCATGCCATACTTGAAAAGATGAAATATCTTTTGAAGTCTCATAAAGAAATGTTAACAGAGTGCTATTGCTCTCAATATTTAACACCAGATCATCGTTCTGATACAGAGAGAAAAGCACTGGAACAAGTGAGGCCATACTAGTACTGTTTAATTTTTGTATGTTTGCAAAGAAATTATGCAAAATTTCTCCTAATTCTTGTACTTTATATATAAAAGTTGCATTTGAGAGTAATAAAGAGGAGGCATTACTCACTCCATGAATTGTGCTGAAAGACACATTGACATGATCATCAGTCAGTGATCCAACCTCATACAGATTCCTCAGGAAGTTTTCACTTAAGTGTTTTAGATGGTTCAAAGCAGGATTATTTAAATCTGGCCAATCAGTCAGGACATTTTGGAGCAATAGTATACTTCTATTATGGATTTTATTTTCTGTCATGGAAAATTTAGTTCTAGATAAGGTCTCCAATAACTCCTTCTCTTGCACTTGAATCAAATGAGAGAGCCTAGAATCAAGTTCACGGAATACAGTTCTCACGACATGCCAAAAAACTTCTGTCTTCTCTTTTGTCCAGAATCTCTGAAGAGGCTTGACATTTTTTTGTAGCTCATTATAGAGTTCAGAAACTGCAAGTGAGAAATTGGTGTCAGATTCTTTTCCCTCGGCAAAATTTTTCATCCATATAATTGTATTATTCAAGACATTTTCAATTAGAGACTGGTTTGAAGGAGCTGAGAAATCAAGAATTATAATTTCTTTTATGACTTCTACAAGATGAAGAAGATGATCCATTTCCTTTGTACCAGAAATACGTAAGTTTTCTTCTGTCTTCAAAAACTCTTTGAAAGATGTCAAAATCCTGAAAAATTAAACATGAGTTTTTTTCTTGTTAGTTACCTAGCAGGGAGACAAGAATTGGTTAAATATACATTTTATAATTTTAGAAGATAGTTTTATTTACTTAATTCAAATAAGTTCAAGTATCATTTAAATAGCAGTCACAAATTAATCACCACAAAACCTGAAATAGCACAAATGACAATCACTTTGGTTTTCAAAAATGTGACAAAACTCGCTGAAAAGCCACAGCTACTTTCAAATCAAAAGCTGAACATAGGCAGCTAGGTTAAAGTGTGCATTTATCAGTAATTATAATCAAGCTTGTATGCCACAAAGAGTCAAACATCTTTAATTTAAGTATGTCACATTTTCAGCTGCTGAAAAGAGCAAAGCTTTTATGCTCCACAACTAATTATTTTATAGAAAGGAACTTATCAATAAAATCGATCAAAACCTCTAATTTTCTGTGACGTCTGAATATATTTTTTTTGTTTTATCGTAACTATTGAAAGCTAAAACATTCCAGTTAACTGGCTGATAGCTGAACGTTGCTATTTTAATATCCAGAAAAACAAAACAAAACATGAAATCACAGTGAAAATTGGAATGCTCCAACTGATGTTTCCATTATGTCAATACTATTTATCAAAAGAAAAAATGTTTACTAGCTCTGTAAGAGTAGTCAAGGTTGAGGTGCATGGAGAAAGGAGCATTCCCATGCAAAGGTCTCAAGTTGAAAATACCTTCTTTTTAAATATGCTTTCTTTTAATAGTTAAAACGCAGAATACCACACACCATTAAAAAGCTTTGTGAGGGAATTTCTGTGTCAGTTACTGGAATGGCTTCTACAGGAGAGAAACCAAGATGTCAAACATTGAAAAAAAGCATTCCCCACATAGAATCTCTTTCTTAGACCTATTCAAGTCAAAGAAATACCTCTGCATGAAAAGCAAAGAAAACCCAAACAAGTCACATGATATTGTTAGTACTACTGTGTAGAGAAAATGGTGGATATTCTAGAAACAGTATTTAAGACCAAATCCAAATCCTTGCCCTAGCAAATATGCCTGCAATGATCTTCATAACAAAGTTGGGAAACAGCACAAAAGAAAAATGGTTGAACATTCAAGATACCAATTTGCATTCTACTTCTCAACTTCCATTTTGTTTTTACTGTAGATAACAAGAATATCTAAGATTGTGAAAACCCAAACCAGGGGTTCTTTGCTTGTAGAGCCCATTTTAATCAAGCAGCTAAGGTCCTTGTCAAGTTCTGCTTGAATGAAAAGCATGACGTGACCTGTCTAACAGCGGAGGAAATATTCAAATTGTGCCATTTATAGACTTTTGACTCTTCATCTTTCATTGCACTGGTAGTGGTTATTTACATTTGATAGGTTAAACAAGGGACTGATTTAGCAAAGAGCTAAATAGCAGCATAATGAAAAATAAAGTTCAAAGTCTAGAACGTAATTTAGAAAGTATTCTTATCTGCTAACAGCTATGATTGCCAGCATAGCATAGTAAATAGTTCATAGCACTTAATAGCAGAGGCAGCACTCAACAATTAGTCTGAAGTTGTTCCATTAGAGACATTTTTTTCTTTTCTTTTTTTTTTCTTTTTTTTTAACCAGATCGATGATTAAATGGCTTCTGTTTCACTGTTCACCTTGACATTAGCAGGGCTATAATGCAAGTAACTTAGTGACAAGAAGCACTTGTAACTATAAGTTGGAACCATCAGGAGTCCACCACTTTGGTTACTACTGGTAACACACCAGAGATGGAGATACCTCTTTTAAATGCTTTTGAGTGACAGCCACAGAGATCAACTTTCTTTGCAGGATTCTACTTCTTCTCAGTAATACTGAAAAACACCAGTCATTTGGTGAAAAGCAGCAGGGTAATTGCATTCAAGAATTACAAAATTCCAAAGTGGAAGTGGGGTAAAGGATTTCTGGAAAATGTTTAAACAAAGAAATTACAGTGACTAGTTCAGCCTTACCGTGCCCAGGAAATAAATGAGGAAGAATCTGGTAAGTCTCGCAGAAGTGCCAAATAATGACCTAGGATGGTGTCCAAACTGAGCTTTCGTCTAGAACATAGAGATGCTTCTAGTCCATCTGCAGAGAAAATAAAAATTTCAACATCAAGAGACAGATTAAAAAAAGTGCTCATGAACACATATATGAAAAACTTGATCGATTCTCACTGAAACAATCTGAATAAGTCCTACCAAATTTAGTAAGACTTGAATGTGTGCACAAAGAGAAGTACATTACATACATTTTAAAAGAAGTAAATATACAATTTTTGAAGTGTTTGATGTTAGTTCTACTGAATGATTTAAAGGAACGAAATGTAGAATCAAAAAACATCAGCTCCACATAAGGCATACCTGTATTTTCCTTACAGAATTCCTTTACAGAAAAATTAAAATGCAATTCCTTACAAAAAAAAAGGAAAAATAGAAGATACCTTTTGAATTATACATGAACTGCAGAACTAGTTCAAATAAGATTAGTTTTATTATACTAGAGTACTAAGTGCTGTACTCAGCACTGAAAAAAACATTAATATTTATTTTTCCTTGGAATTTCAGTGAAAAGAAAGCAGTTCTGTGAAATTCACTATTACTGCTCAGATTACTGAAATATCTGGAACTAATAGATTACAAAACCTGTACAATCAATTCATGTTTGAACAGTTCATTTCTCTAAAACAGTTCTTTGATTAAAAAAGTACTGCTTATTTTTGCATACATTCCATAGCTGCCCACTTCCTGACGAGGTATTCATCACATTTCTGATTAGGTCTATGGAGGGGAAAAAAAAAAAAAAAAAAAAACAGAAGAAAAAAAGAAGTGTGTTCGGAAAAACAGCAGGAACAAGATCTTTCGCAAAACCCAAGAACTAGCTTAAAAAAATCCAACAGTAACCTAAATCCTTCAGAGGCTGGAAATATAAATGCTCAGAGAACAGAAGAATCTGGAGCATGGCAAGAATACTTAAAGGAAACAAATAGGTGATACTGGGCGAGGTCATTTTTAGAGCTGTTTGGATCAGCCACATTGTGTCCTGTTTCACAGCTCCACTAAAACGCTGAGAAAACCAACACAAATATTTAATGAGAAAGAATTTTGAAATGGAAGATATCCCATTTCTCAGCATAAATCTCAGACATTTCAAAGTTTTCCCTAAATAATGAAAAACTAGTGTATTCCAAGAAAGTTAACAGCAGATGGGTCAGGACATCTGGAATATCACAGGACAACTGGGATGAAGGAAACCAAACATCAAGTCCTTGCCTAATATGAAACAAGCCTAGAAATACCTCTGCTGGATGACCAGCTATTCTGGTCTCCCATTTATATCCTGGACTTTAGAAGCTTTGAAACAGTATTCTGTCGGGAAAAGTAGAGACTCCAACCAGGTTCCACCAGCTGGAATTTTCCCAATAGAAATGTATGATCCAAAAATTTTCCAGGTGGCAGTAAAACCACAGCTATTTACCAAACTCAGGCTCCATATATTATAAGTTTTCCTTGCTAACGATTCACCAGCTGGTGAATCCTAAGGTTGATGAAAACACAAACAGAAACAGTCTCACAAAGGTAAAAATCATCACCTTTTCCCTTTCCAAGGAATACCATATTCAAAAACAGGCAGGGAACCATCGGAATAAAGCCTGTGCTGTGCAGTAGCTGTTTCCTCACCTGACATATCTCCTGTGGAGCCTGCTTCCTCACTCGTATATTGAGCTACCTTGCATGTCCAATTGACAAAAGTTGTTAAATCCTTCCAGTATGGGTTTCCCTCAAAAGCAGACACAATTTCTTCAAGTGTATTATTAATTCTGAAATGACACAGAATTAAGGCTACCATGATTAAACCAGTGATTTCCTTCAAAGTCAAATTACCTTGTGAACACGTGTTGTTTCTCTGTAAATCTCTATCTAAATTCTGTTGCTACTTTATGCATACAGAGAGTTCTTTTGATTTAGGGAAAAACTGAGACAGGCAGGTTAATAGCAGAGTCCTTTGCTAAAGAAATCAGCAGCATAGTTACTACATCACTCTAAGCACAACTAGACTTTACTACACAGGTTGGTGAGCAGAAAAAAAAATAATCTAAAAAGTCTTTTAAGAAACCCCAATAATATGCTCTTGTTCAAAAAGTAGCATTTTGAAATTGAAAACATGATCGAGAAATGCTCCCTCTTGTCCTGAAATACACCATTGCATTAAAAAAAAAAAAAAAAAAAAAAAAAAAAAAAAAAAAAAAAAAAACAACCATTGCTTTGTGCATGGAAAAACCCAAACAACCAAACAACAGCAAAACATCTCACATAAAAATAACACTGAGCTTTTCTTGCTCTTCAATGTTATTTAAACACAGGCTTCTATTCCCAGAGGCCTTTTAGCTCTATCAGTGTTTTTGAGAAAGGAAATGTAAAACTAGTCCTCCTGGTGATGTCAGTCATTTAGAAACATGGAGGGTGGGAAGGCAAACAACTATCAACCAACAGCAAAAAGGGACAGGAAAAATGACACAAATTTTCTAAATTCTAAGATGTTATTAATAACTGTGGATTTAATCCCTGCTACCAATGCAGCTTTTGGGATTTCTGAAAAATTCTTGAATGGTTAGAGCTACTAGTTTTACTGCTTTAATTGTAAATTCTTCCGTCCATTTTCTCATATGCATAAGTAATGTAGATAGTTGTCTTCCATACACGTTTAAGTTTGTGACCTAGGATATCTGTACAGCATAAATGCAACTTCACATCAAACACATTATGCTCGTGCTTTATACTGCCAAGCAAGAATAATAAAATCCTACCCTATTTTAAACCACTTTATTGATATAGGGATTTGTCTCTTGTATACTCTAATTTAACACCATTAAAGCTTGAAATCAGCAGAATTACTGAGTCAGTGCAAATTAAAATCAACTTGATAAAAAGATGAACAGATTTTCTGCCAAAATAGAAGAATGGTAACCACTTGTGTTCAGAAAGCAACTTGATGCTGCAATACCCTTCCTAGTGCACTTTCTAACTACCCTCTCTTTAATGTTTTCCTGCATCTCCCAGGAGTCTTTCAGATCCAAGTTTCCAAGCATCCTGAGCAGCACAGTACCAGAGAGGTATGTACCAGGAAGCAGGCTGAGAAGCAGCAGAAACTGCTTAGATGTGAGAAGTCAAAAAGGGAGAATAGGTTCTTAGAATCCGAGATACCTGCATACCCTCAGCCTACTTTCACCTCTACCCTCCCCCAAACACTCTTACTAATTAAAAAAATCATCCTCTATCTTCTTGTTTGTGCTTATAGAAAATTGTTAACACTAGGTGGTAATCAAAAGCAAAAAACAGGATTTTAACCATTTTGTCTTTTCAGTTACTGGTTATAATACCTTACTACAAGCTGGTACCAGTCAGGATCTCTATGTATTAAAACGTATACAAGATACATACAGTGAGACAAGCAGCTGTTCCTGACAAGAGCTGAAATGGACATCCTCCTCAGATGGTGCTTCCGTGCTCAGCAATTGATTAATTTCACAGTAATAAGCATAATTTTTGGTTAGCTCCTCTTCTATTTCTTGCCATCTCAAGTAATCATCCATTATTGAATCTGGCAGGCTCTGTTGTCCCTGAGTTACTTTCTGCAGAAGCAGGACCTTTCAGAGTAAATAAAGCAATATTTGAAACCAGTAAAAGGGAAACTCACCTGACGCTTTGGCCCTGCTTCTTTGACTTGTAGTATTGATGATATTGAAATCCAGTATAAAATGGATTAAATGAGCAGGCTTTCAAACATTCTTAATTTTTTCTGGAAGTCACAGCTATTTAGCATGTCTAAAATGTCACACCCACACCAAGAGACTCTGCAGGACCCCTTGTGCCTTGCCTCCAAGCACATTTTAATCAGTTTAAATAATCAGTTACCCATACACTTATTAATAGCAAACGCTAAGTAGTAAACTACAACCCCTGCTAATTTATTTTGGTTTATAGCAGTAATAGAAGTAAGGCACTACAAGCTTTAAAGATGAAAAGAATTCAGAAATACTTACAGATTCCTTTAGTGACTGGACCTGGTTACTTAGCTTGAAGGTCACCTCTGAGCCATTGCCAGGGCACAGGTATATTGCTAAAATGTCAATGTCATCTGAGCCCTGTGGGAGTCTCAGGGTCTTCTCAAACATTGTAAGAACGTCATTGCATGTATAGGAAGCATTGCTCATCAACACCTAAAATTTAATGAATATGCTGTCACTTTGAAAATGAATGCAGGGTGAAGGAACAGATTTAATTCACACTCCATATTAATTCTCACATTGAAATGTCAAAAGAGAAAAACACACAAAGTAAAGTTGGACCAAAATGCTGCTGAATAAGAAGTAAAAGTACTTACGCTGCTTTAAAACATACCTGTTTTAGCTCCACAAAGAGCTTTCTGATGTCTAGATGAATGAATCCATCTCTTTGGGCAAAGGGAATCTGTTTTTCCAGGCTACGTAAAGCTTCTGTAAGACATTTCCCCCACACCCCCCATAAAGAAAATATTTAACCTACAGTGTAATTCAGGGACAGTACAGTATGAAAGAAAACTGCATGACATGGTTTAAAAATACAGCAGTCACGGAGGCATAAAGGTTCCACTTTGGTTTAGATGACAACCCTGCCCAAAGCACTCCATTATTTTGCACAAAACATGTACAGGGCTGCACTCTGCACTTCTGAGGAGCAAAGACTGCTCCCCTCCTGCACCGCCACTGAAAAAAGCTCATCAAGACAAGGCAGAAAGAAGAGACAAGTCTTACACCAGCAAAAGCATGACCCTATCCCCTTTCAGTTATATGAGAGTAGCTCCAATGACGTCAGTGAGCTTTCATGATTTTCAGGAAAGGAAAATGAAGTCCTGTGCGGGCTTCTAGCCGTGAAGGCTGTAAATACACTTGGACTCTTCCCATAAGAAACAGTTGATTTAGCCAGCAAATTCTTCTGAAATATGGAAAGGTGGCCTAATTCCTTAAGCTCCCAAGCAAAACTAATCTCACCCTTCTCAAATAAAAGACAGCCACAGAAATGTTACCAGGTCATGTTAGGGAGTTGCCAAATCCAGTATCCCTACAGAGGTGAGGCTGCCCCAGGCCCAAGTGGGAGCAAGGCTGGACAGGCAGGCACACAAGCCAACACCTACACAGCAAATGCACATGGCCGGCCAGACGGATCAACACAGACCAACACATCCAGCACTCGCGTACACACAAACAGCACCAACAGGCTCATCCTGTTCACCTCCCTGGCTGCTCAGGGTGAAAGTCTGTTACAGAGAATATATACATATATGTACACACACAATATGTGCACGCACAATGTGGATCCCACTACAGCAGAACTCAGATGCCCAGTCTGCCCAGCAGCTGCCACTGGATCACAGTCTCCCTCCTCAGTTGTTGGCACCTGGACAGTGGATCCCTGCAATAACTGCTCTTGGATACTCAGTCCATGTGGTCCTGGTCCCTCAGCTCTCCCCAGCTGCCTCACACATGAAAGGTACACAAACAGGTCTCTCAGTCAACATCCAGACCCCATGGTCTGTTTGGTGTCGGCCTGGACCTCCTGGTTCCTCTGATAGTTGACTCATCCTCACTGTCAGTGAAGTGCACACCTCCCCAGCTCCCAGGCCATCTCATAGAATGGTTCAGGTTGGAAGGGATCTTGAAGATCACCTAGTTCCAACCCCCCTGCCATAGGCACGGACACCTCCCACTAGACCAGTTTGCTCAAAGCCCCATCCAGCCTGGCCTTAAACACCTCCAGGGATGGAGCTTCCACAACTTCCTTGGGTGACATGTTCCAGTGCCTCACCACCCTCAGAGTGAAAAATTTCTTCCTAATATCTAATCTAAATCTACCCTCTTCCAGTTTAAAGCCATTACCCTTTGTCCTATAACTACATGCCCTTGTGAAAAGTCCCTCCCCAGCTCTCCTGTAGGCCCCCTTTAGCTACTGGAAGGCCGCAAAAGGGTTTCCCCAGAGCCTTCTCTTCTCCAGGCTGAACAGCCCCAACTCTCTCAGCCTCTCCTCATAGGAGAGGTGCTCCAGCCCTCAGATCATCTTTGTGGCCCCATTCACCCTTCAGCTATCCCACCCTGATATCCACTAGTGATCACACACTGACATGCCCACCCTCACTCACTCTAGTTTCTGGCACCATGGACACACAGGTCCCAGCCCATTTGCTGGCACTTGATTTCACTCATTCCAGTCCTTCCAGTTGTTGCTATGGGCCCCTATGTTTCCCAAGGTCTGACCTCAGTTGCTGCACACAGACCCCCATACATACACTTGCATACAGAATAGAGAGTCCTCACCCAGGAAGAGTTAGAAATGGAGATTAGTGAGAAGGCAGGACAGCCTGCAGTAGTCAGGTGCAGGGCATGGCCAGGTAAGCATATTGACCAAAATATTTATATGCAAGCAGCCCCTTTCATCACCTTATTTCTATTTTTCCATACTTGTTCGTCCCCAAAACACCTAGATCACTTCCTCTCTCCACCTTTGGCTCCTCTTCCAAACCTCCCATACTGTCTTGTGCAATCTTAAAATACTCTT